GCGCTCGCCCGCAGCAGGCCTCCCCGCAGCCCGGTGCCGCTGGAGCACCGGTCGTGCAGTGCGAAGGGAGCGCGAACTCGGTTGTGGTTGCAGGTCGTGTCGAGCTGCCCTGCGGCGCAGGTGGTGTTGGAAGCTGCTGCTCGGGACCTGGACTCAGCAAGCGGAGACGACAGGCGGTCTGCTCCAGCGGGTTGACAGGTGGAGGAGGTAGAGGGGGAGACAGTCCAGTCTCGGAACCCGAGGAGGGAGCTGGAGGCAACAACAGTGAGGATGAGTATGAGAATGCGGCCAGACTTCAGCTTGAGGACCCCGCCACAGTCGAGCAGGTACTGGAAACTGGCATTTGTCAGGACACTTGGCAACACGAGAACAGGGTGCCAGTTGTGTCATCCTCTAAAATGCATTAAATGCATAGCTGCTATTCTAAAGCATAACGGAAAGGTTTTTAATTCTCTCTAAATGTTCTCTTTTACCGTAAATATTATTTTAAACGTTTTTAATGTCATTCATTCTTGAAAAAAAGAATTAGAGGTTCTCTTAAGATGTACATTACTAGATATCTGTTTAACTTTTGGTTCTTTCGAGTTTTTTTCTTTAATTGTTGACTGATTATAGACCGTTTGGTTTATTTTTTGCTTCTTAATTCTATGAAAGCCCAATTACCACCACAAAAAAATAAAAATAAATAATGCTTTGGTAAATCATAATTACTAAAATAGCAGGGTAAATTAAGATGTAAGTCATCATTTTATCTCACAATTGTGACATAAAAACTTGAAATTATTAGATAGCCTCATAAAAGTAACCCTACATAATGAAAACAAAATTAAAGTCGATGGTGACTGAGCTTGTCATTTATTATGTGGAAATGGGATGTTAGTTAGAACTAATCAACAAAATTTTTGAATAAACTATTAATCTTTATTTGCAAATAATTTTTGGGAACACTGTCTGTTTTGGTGTTCAGAATAAATACTCCATATGTCCTCGTTGTCTTATAATGTACTTTCTTGGTTACTTTTTGGCCTACAGCAAGAAGAATGGTTTGAGAAATCCTTGAGGGAAAATAAAGGCTTTGAAATCAAAAAAATGAACGAAGATGGAGCATGTCTTTTCAGAGCAGTTGGTAATATTTCCCTCCTTTGTCTATTTAAGAGTTTACTTAAAAGCTGAGTTAGTTTGCCTTTAGGACATATGCTGTGCTTTGAATATGCTGAAATTATAGTTTAGCAGTGCAGATCATGTAATCATGTGGCTTTTTCAGCGCATAGGTACCGTATTGTGGCAGGGTTTCCACAATTAGAGAAACCCTAGAAATATACTTTTTTTCAGTCCTAAAGTAGTCATGGAAATTATTAAAACCTTTAAAAAATCTGTAATTTCTCTATTATTATTATTGTTGTTGTATGAAATTTCTTGTTGCAGTATCTATAAAATAAATGTTTAAAAGTAATTATGAATGACTGGTAAAGTCATGGAAAGTAATTGACAATTGACACAATTATAGATTACACATGTAACAGTGTTATTTTAGTATTATTTATATATTAATGCAGCTTTTATTAATGTTTTGAATTCGCTTTTATTTTTATATTTTAAGTTTACACTTTAAATTGAGTGATTTTGTTATGTGCTTTTATCATTTTATCTTTTTTTTTTTTCAAGCTGATCAAGTATATGGAGACCAAGAGATGCATGATGTGGTACGGAAGCAGTGTATGGATTATTTGGTGAGTCAGTTGAATATTTAAGAATAAATGATTTGCATTTAAAAAAAAAATTGTTAACTTTGAAGTGTGAATTTTACCCTTTTTAATTATTGACCAAGTTGAGATTTTTTGTTTATACTTGCATTGCAGACGAAAAATGCGGATTACTTCTCCAGTTATGTCACAGAGGACTTCACCACATACATTAACAGAAAGAGGAAGAACAACTGTCATGGGAACCACATTGAGATGCAAGCCATGGCAGAAATGTACAACCGGCCGGTGGAGGTTTACCAGTATGGCATAGGTTAGTTAATGTCTGTTGAATTCCTGGCATCTTATAGGCTGTCTGTGGTATATTTTAGGAAAGAAGAGGAAATAGTTTTTAATTTTATTTGAAAACTCCCAATTTCCAGAGCCAATAAATACGTTCCATGGCATCCAAGAGAATAACGACGAGCCAATACGTGTCAGTTACCATAAAAACATCCATTATAACTCTGTGGTGAATCCCCACAAGGCCAGTATTGGGGTGGGGCTGGGCCTCCCCTCCTTCAAACCGGGGGTAGGTGTTGTAAATATGATGCACAACATGATATGATGCACAAGTGTTTACCCGTATAGTATTTTTTTTTCACTCAATAATGAAAATTTGCTGAAAATGTACTCACCCTCAGGCCATCCAAGATGTGGTTGGGTTTTCTTCATTACATCACTTGCTCACCAATGGATCCTCTGTTGTGAATGGGTGCCATCAGAGTGAGAGTTCAACAGCTAATAAACAACTCACAAGGCATTAATTGATGGAGTGCAGTCGTGTGGATTACATGTGGATTATTGTGATGTTTTTATCAGCTGTTTGAACTCTCATTCTGACGACACCCATTCACTGCAGAGGATCCATTGGTGAGCATAATGTAATGCTGAATGCTGAAATTCTCCAGATCATTTCCAATAAAGAAACAAACTTATCTACATCTTTTATGGCCTGAGGGCGAGTAAATTTTCATTTTTTGGGCGAACTGTTCCTTTAATATTTGTTATTTTGTTTCTGTGTAGTATGCTGACCAGAGTCTCATGAAAAACGCTATTAAGACATCTGAGGAGTCTTGGATTGAGCAGCAGATGCTGGAGGACAAGAAGAGAGCAACAGATTGGGAGGCCACCAATGAGGCCATCGAGGAGCAGGTGGCTCGTGAGTCCTACCTGCAGTGGCTTCAGGACCAAGAGAAGCAAGCAAGACAGGTATGAAACCATTCCACCTGTCCTAATCAAACTAAGTTTAAGCAACTTTGAAACATTTCCCTCTCTGCTTTTCCATTCAGCCTCGTAAAGCTAGTGCCACCTGCAGTTCTGCCACAGCTGCTACATCCAGCGGCTTTGAGGACTGGGGATGCCGGTCTCCCCGCCAGCGCAGCTCTGCCCCCTCTCCAGAGCATCCAGGCCCGGCTCACCCTGAACCCCCTGTCAAACCCCCCTCCCCAGCTGGAGCTTCCCTGGTTCTTCCTAAACCCCCGTCACCATGTGCCCCAGGTATGTATGTATGTGTATGTTTTCTTTGCTTACACTAATGCGCATTTCTTGCTTACTAACCGATTCTTCCTGGACTTCTTTTCAAGGTCCAAGTCATCAGTCTTCTGCCAACTCTTCCCTTGTGTCTCTCTACCCAACCCTGGGCTACAGGACTCTAATGCAGGATATGTCACCTACTGCCTTCGGTAAGGCATTATATGCTTCAGTATAAATGTTTGTTGATCTACACTACATGTCTTTAAACAAGCTTACTTAATTAGGTGGTTGATTTGTTTTTAGGTTTAACAGATTGGGAAGATGATGACGTTCTGGCCTCAGTTCTGGCTGCTTCACAACAAGAATACCTCGATAGCTTGAAGAAAAATGCAATGCACAGAGAATCTTCTCCAGACTGCAGCTGATATAATGGACAACACAACTTGCAGTACAAACCACAGAACAGCTGCATTTCTATATTTCAACACCTTGCAATGTTTCTTCCTCTCCACTCTTTATAAATACCACTGTATTTTGATCTTTTTTCTTTTTTTCCTTTTTTTGGCTAACCCATTTTCCTTCATTTCATTAAGCGTCATGGACCTAGTTAGGTGCATGTTTAAATAAACATTGTAAAATTAATATTAAAAATATAATCTCAACTGTTTATTATTATCAGGTGTTTTCATTATTTCAGCAGAACAAATTATACTAATTAGTATAAGAATGTTGAAAATGTTTAGATTTTTTTTCTTCTAATTTTTCAATATTGACCAATGCAGCACAGCAAGCTGCAGGTATTTGGTTATTTAAAGATGAACAGTAAACAATTCAAATTCATGCTTTTATGTTTGTATACTGTACTGAAGTATTTAGTGAAACTTGAGGTTTCTCTAGTTACTGTACTTCTAGTTATCATAACATATATGACACATACACACACACACACACATATATATATATATATATATATCTCAATTGCAAAGTACAAATTTTATATATTACGTAACTATATAAGTTTATACATTGTGTATATAGATAGATATTTATGTTTGTTAATATGTAAATATATGTAGATTAATAGATAATTATACTGTAGATAGATAGATATACACGTGTGAGTGTGTGTGTCTATATATATCTATATATATATAAATATATATTAGTGCTGTCAAACGATTAATCGCAATTAGTCGCATCCAAAATAAAAGTTTTTGTTTGCATAATATATGTGTGTTCTGTGTATATTTATGTATATATAAATACACGCATGCAGTATATATTTAAAAAATATTTACATTTATTTACGTCTATATTTATATTCATATAATTTATATTATAAACATTAAAAACCTATTTTTCTGAAGTATATACATGCATGTGTGTGTATTTATATATACATAATAAATATACACAGCACACATTCATATATTATGTAAATATATATATACTGCCGAGTTTGGGATCAATAAGATTTTTCATGTTTTTTTAAAGAAGTATTTTATGCTTATCAAGACTGCATTTATTTGATCAAAAATACAGAAAAAAAGATAAATGCAGCCTTGATGAGCTTAAAATACTTCTTTAAAACAACATTAAAAAAACTTACTGATCCCAAATATTTGAACGGCAGTATACATATATACACACACACACACACACATTCTAATAAATGTAGTGTATATATAGAAAATTGTAGTGTGGTCTCACACTTGATATATTTCATTATGGTCTTCTATTTTGAAACATGTCAACCGGAAGTGGTTGTTGCTATTTGTTTTGCAGCGTTTTCAACGTCAAGCTTCCTGGAGCACCGGCGGCTGAGTCAGTTTCGCTGAGCGAACGCTAAGAATGATCTTGGTTTTGATTTATCGTTAATAATTTATTTAATCAGACATGAATGTAATTATGACGATTAGTGAATCAGTTCACGAGAGGAATAATTTATCGCGGGAGATCATGAGCTTTTCCCATAAATAACGTAGACTAGCCCAAGTTTCTGTCCTGTAATCTGCTTGCTAGCTCTGTGATTTGAACCAGTCCTTATTATTGCGATTAATAGTCATTCATCATTATTAAAGTTTCTGCGGCAGACGACGTGCGTGACGGTGTTCAAACTCCAGGAGCGCTGCAGATATGGGATAACATCAGTAATCAGATTAAACGGGTTTAGACTTCACATTTGTACACGAAGTACGAACCTTCATTAATTAAATTGCTTTGCTGATATATTTGTCATTTGATTTGGTGTTATTAAGTCACCTTTTCGTTATAAATTCAGCTGTTTGCATGTTGACATGGATCAGAGGAGTCAAGACAGTGGAAATATGGAGGAGGTGAAGATATGTGATCCATCCATCCTTCCACAATATCTGGATCAGACAGGTAATGTTTTGCGCTAGTTTACTAGTTAAACGTGTGTTATAGTGGCTAACATGTTGATTCTACTCCGCTTTCCAGATGTTGCGTACTCAGATAGTGATGTCCCATCAGAAAACCATTGTGTGAATGAAGATCACTGGATGCCTTCAGACCCAGAGGGGCTCTTGGAGTCAGCAGACCCTACATCAATAGAGAGCAGCCAGCCACAAGAGCCTTCAACAGATATGCACAAGCTCCACATCGATGAAGACCGGTCTCTGTGTGCCGGTGGTTCAGAGAGCGATTCTGGGAAAGCATCTGAGGACTCTGCATTAGCGGACAATGGCCATGATGACTTGGGTGAGTTTGTCGTAACCATGTTAGCCCGGGGTAAGATCGAAGAGCAGGGATTGGATATTAAAGAAGTCTCGTCCCCTTTATCTGAGAACGGCACACCTCTGGGACCTCCCTCGCACAGGAACGAGGATGTGACGGCGGATAGTTGGAGACAGCACAGGAAGCATGTGTTTGTGCTGAGCGAGGCTGGGAAGCCCATCTACTCCCGATATGGAAGTGAGGAGGCGCTGTCCTCCACCATGGGAGTGATGATGGCCCTGGTGTCCTTCGTACAAAGTGGAGACAACATCATTCGTTCAGTCTACTCCGGTAAGACTTCTGAATGATTGGCTCAAAGACTCCATAAAAATAAAAAATGCATGCTTTAATAGCTCATTTACTCATAATCGTGCATGTAAAATGTTCAAACCGCTAAAAAATATTGATGACCAGACTTGCACTCAAGGGCGTTTGCAAATCTTTGTCCAATCAGATGCTCTATAAAACGTGAAAGCTCCACCCTCTAATGTCCTGTGACATAGCAACTCAAGTATCTCAAGTGTTTAATTTAATTTCACTGATCTGAAAATCAAAATCCTTTTAATGAATTTGGATGAACAATTAATCATTATTTCATTAATACTTTGCAGAAAAACATTGAAAAACTTACAATATATTCAACCCAATTTACCAGTTTTTTTTATAAGCTGTCTTGTATTCTATAATATATTTTATGTAACAAAAATACACTTATGTTCAAAAGTTTGGTTTGTCAGATTTTTTATGTTTATGAAAAATCTCTTACGCTCACCAAGGCTGCATTTATTTGATCAAAAGTTTACTGCAGTCTTCAGTGTCACATGATCTTCAGAAATCATTCTAATATACTGATTTGATGCTCAAGAAACATTTCCTATTATCAATGTTGAAACCAGTTGTGCTGCTAAATATTTTTGTGGAAACGGATAAATTTTTTTAGGATTCATCGATGGAATAGAAAAAAAACAGCATTTATTTGAAATAGAAAACTTTTTAATAGGGATGCACGATATTGGATTTTTGCCGATATCTGATATGCCGATATTTTTCAACTTATTTTGGCCGATACCGATATATTTCCTTTTGTTTGGAAACAACACCAAGTCTCTCCTGTGCAGAAATTATAAGCAAAATATTTTTAAAGGGGTCATATGATGTTGCTAAAAAGAACATTATTTGGTGTATTTGGTGTAATGAAATGTGTTTATGCGGTTTAAGGTTAAAAAAACACATTATTTTCCACATA